TGGATTGGAGTATTGGTTTGGAATATTGGATTGGAGTATTGGTTTGGGGTATATATAGGATTGGAGTATAGGATAAGATAGGATAGGATAGGATAAGATAGGATAAGATAGGATAAAATAGGATAGGATAGGAAAGGATAGGATAGGATAAGGTAAGAAAGAATGCGATAGGCTTCAAATAATTAAAACAGTTTAGGATAGAGTTGGTTGGGGTTGTATAGAAGGATAAGATGTAATAGAACACGGAAGAGTAGCGTAGGAAAAACTGTAGCGCTTGGCGTCATCGCTTTTGCAATCCCGCTGGGCACATTGAGATGTCATGCTGAAGGTCGGCTTGTGGCGGGTCGTAAAAACGTGTTTTCGACCTGCGACCGCGATAAGTCTTATGAGAATTATTCTAAGAAATAAACGGCATATCGACGCCTTCAAACCATACTATGCTGAGTCTTACTAATTCTAAGATAACTTGACGAGAAATAGACTACTCTAGGCTTCGGCGTGATATTGCGATTTATTTTCTCAGCAAGCGACGCGATTGGGATGCGTTTCTTCTCTGCGCATGTTCAAAGCTTCGAAGAAGGCATTTCATTTGAAAGCCTTATAAAGAGCTTGGCAGGATTCGTCAAAAGATCAATCGGTTTTAAGGACAATTAGGGACTAGGAATTAACGAACTAACTCAGGGACACTACAATAGACCTATTTAAGCTCGAGTAACTTAGCTTAGCCCGCCTAACCGAGCACAGTATGCATCCAAACCCAACGAAAGTGCCAGTTCACGCTCACCTCAAATGGGCGTACGCTGGTTTCGACTTTTTGGCTTGTCGAAATCGCACATTAATTTCACTTACAAGCAGTTCTAAGCGTATATACGTATGTACTTTGTATGAGGAATATATTGGGGTGTTGCCGCAACCAAAGGTATGGTTACAACAATGCCCAGCCGTAAAATTGTCGACAAATTTTCCATGTTAACCTTTGATTGTGTGTTTGCTCAGCGCGCACAAACAACCACCAACATTACTACATAAATATGTATGGACAACGGACCATCCAAGCCACCTATATATAGCAGCACCCGTGAGTGTGTCGTACAAACCGAAACCGAAAACAAAAACAACAACAACACTGACCATCAAATACAATTAGTTACATTTCGCATACACCACGCCAGATACTTCCTCTGCTTGCATTTATTTGATGGGTTAAGTGTTGGTGTTGTTTTTGTTGGTAGTCTGTGGAATGGTTGGTTGGTCGTCCGTTGACTGGGTTTTTGGTAGGTTTGTGCTTGTCATTAATTGTAAGTTAAAAAGTTATTTTTATTTAACACCATATCGATTCAAGGCAATCTTAACAAGAGGCAGATGTTCAACGTCAACGTAGACACACGCATACACACGCCGCGCATGAACGGAGCAAGGATATGTGGGCTTTGTGAGTATCCTGCGCGTTCGTGTTCGCGCCTCAACAAATGCAAAAGTGTGGTGGTGGTGGTGGTGGCGATGCACCCTCGAAGCGTTTGCGGCATCTGCCTCTTTTTTTTTTTTGTTTTGCCCAGTATGTATTTATGAAATTGCTTTTCAAATTTCGTACACAAATTTGTCTAATCATATTTGTTTGCTGCCTTCACGTCTCTCGTCCCTTGTCACTCGCCCCTTTTTTGCTGTTTTACACTTCAGGATTAGGCATATTTTGCTAAATGCTTGACACTCAAGTCTTCTATTTCTTTTTTTTCTCGCTAAGTTCTTTACAATTTTTTATTTTTCAAAATAGTCACGCACTCCCGTTACTTGTTGGCCCATATGAAGGTGCGCCTCTTCAGTGTTTTGAGAATTTCTGCAGCTGTGCTTTAACCCCTTATACCCTTGGCTACCTTTTGCAGTTATTAAGTCATTAGAAAAGTGAGGTTATGTTGCCAGGGCGACGGAGATATAATAGCGCTAAATAAACTTAATTAATAGTTTTTGTACGTTGGACAATGAAAGCGACGATGTCGACATAGTGCGGCAGATTAAAATACTGCAGCTTCGCTGGCTCGGCCTTGTGGTACGAATGAACAGAAAGGCTCCAGTTTTGAAAATATACAACGTAGATGTCGTTGCTAGTAACAGAGGATGAGTAAGGACTCCTCTGGAAACACCAGGTGGAGAAGAACTCGGCTTCGTTTGGCACAGGAAAGAAACGACTGGCCAGAACCGCTTAGGCTAGGTTACATCGTAAATCAAGAAGAAAGGCAATAGTTTTTGTAATAGGACTCATTGTAGTGGCGGTTCCAAGCGAACATGTTGAAAGAGAAAAGTTTTGTCCGCGAACCAGAGTAATTGAGAAATCTGCTCCCAAAAATGCTTTTACCACTCGCGAGCTTTCAAAAATCTTAACTCTGTGGAAAGAGCTTTTCGGTACTCTCATTTTCGTTGTTGGTGTTTGAGTATGATGTATTGTGGAACTCGAAAAATTACCGGTTTGTCTCCGAACCAAATTTGACAAGGTATGAAGGAAATCGTTCCAAAATACATAAGCTTTTCGGTACTAATTAGTTGGTAGGTCAGAAGCGCACACCGAACACCGAAAATGCAGATGAGAGATCTTCGCTTCAGCGAAAGCTACACGAGATGATTTGAGACAAGTCTGACAGTATCTTCGAATCCGAAGACTCAACATTTACATACATAGGTTAGATAACTATTAGAAAAGAATTCGAATTCTAATGTGTTTCTTTAAGGTAGAAGATTTGTAACCTTTTGTAACCGATTAGAGAAACAGTCGATAATTATAGCATTCCCTAAAAAAAGGGAACTTACGTAACGTAGCTTAGCCATGTCCAAAAAATTTTTTATTTTTATTTATGAGCTGCGCTTGACGATCTACGCTAAACGCTGACGCAATTCTCCCTTTCTTCAAAAGCGCAAAAAATTTAAATAAATTTCTCTCTACTCACCATAAAGCTCATTTTCCTTAATCCAAGCGCTACGCGCCGGATGCGCCAACACCGTATGCGTCATCTGATGATACGACGACAGCTCATCACTGAAACTGGAAAAGTTCTTTGGCAAATATTGACCCGCTGCGGCGGCTGCTGCTGCAGCAACGGCATTGTGATGACTAGCGATGAGATGTGCGGTGGCTTGTGCATTTGCCGCTACCGAAGCGGCGCTCGGTTGGCCACCATTGCCATCGGTGCCGTTCAATATGTTACCACCACCAGTTACCACTGGTGTGGGTGTAGTACCGGCAGAGTGTTGAGTTGTCTGATCATCGTTGGGTACCGTTAACGTATTAGAACCTGCGCCGCTTAATACTGACGCTGGTGGCGTTAAATGTGCACTGTGTGCATCACCATTACTATTGCTATTGTTGTTGTGTAAGCTGGTGTTATTGTTATTGTTGTGATGGTGGGGATGAAGTTGGGTGAGATGGCTGGCGTGATGGGGCTGGTGTTGCTGGATGCTGTGACTAATATCAGTTTCGCTGTGATGGCCAGCGGCGGCGGCATGTGGTGGCACAACGCCATTCTTCAGTTCGCTGCCATCCAAATTGAGTATGTCCGATATGTGAAAGCCAGAGGAGCGTTGTGACGAGGGTACCTTCGCGTCGAAGAGACTATATGGAAGAGAAGAATTGAGGAGAGAATGGGGGTTAGCTATATGTAGAACAAACTGAATAAAATGTATAGACTATGTTTTTTTTTTTTTTTTTTTTTTGATGATGGATGCTTCGGGTTGAGCTTCCACTTCAGTCGGAATTGAGATAAAATTTCCTACATATAAATTTTGTCAATTCCTCAAAGCTATGCGTAGTTTAGATGCGCAGAAAATGGTCACGAGACGCCCACCAAAACACCTCTAGAGTTGTTATTTCTTTAACTCCGTTGTCCTGCCACGTACTTGATCTAATCGTCTTGTCAAGAAGCCTTATTAATCCAGTGCTTACGAGCGAATTTTTTCGAAGCATGAATTTTGCCTATTTTTCTTCTCATTCAGTCATAAGCGCGAAGAGCTCTTTCTGTGCACCATTTTTGGGGCACAGTAGTGACAGTTAAAATAAGTACCACTTTATTGTATTTAGATCGTGTAATGTATGAAATTTTTGACATTTTTTTCTGTACCAAAATTCAATTTGCCTCATCACAAACTTAGTGCCAAGGGGTGAAATGAGTAGGCAGAGCTATTTAGCTGTAGATTTTTTTTTCATGCGAGCTGCTTCTTCTTTGATCTCTTTCACTAATAAAAAAAATATTAAGCTTAGCTGTAGCAGATAAACTTTTTTTTGTGCGATAAGCTATTAAAAGTGTAACGGTGCGTCTACTGCACTTTTTTTCATGAAGAGAAGTGATTATCGGTATTAGAAAAATTATTTAATCAATTCTTATATTTAGTAAACGTTTTTTTTATAGCTCTGTAAATTCTACGTGAAAAGTTGAACTTGAAATTATTTTAAATGCATTTTCAAACAGAAAAAAAAAAACTAAATAGTTTCGCTGAGTTCCGACTTGTAATTTATAAAAAAAAACGAATTCTGTAACGTGTTGGCTTTAAGGTTAAATATACTCTTTTTGCGCGCTTTTACCGCACCCATACAATTGTTTTCAATTTTCAGAATGGTTTCTCCAAAACCCCAAGAGCCCCCAAGTAACTAGTTTCAAGCGAATTCGATTAATTTTGAAAAATTTTGTCCACCATATTGGATCCGCCATATTAGATTTTTAAAACCTGACTGAAGATCTGTAATCAGGGGTCCCATATACTAGTGGATACGAAGTGGTGTACAAATTCTTCAACGCGCACCTGTTCAAATAGTTTTGTCCCGCTAGATTCTCAATTCATACCACTGTGTATTTTCAGAAATAAATTTTAGCCCCCAACTCAAATTTTTTGATTTAAACAAATTTCAAAACCTTGAAGTAAGTAAATTCCTGCTGAAACTAGCCTGAGCCACGTCGCACAGTGCGCAATTTTGGAAAAAATAGACAAAATCAAATATCTCGAGAGCGAGATGAGATAGCGAATTAACTGTAATGGCATTTTAAAGCTTTTGAAATGCAGAATTCAGTAAAAGTAGTTTCGTTGGATAAAAAAAAAAAATTACCTTGACCTTAAAAATTACTTTCAAAAATAGAAGGTTTTAAATTTGTTCCTATTTTTGACCTAAAAGCAGTATGCAGTGAACTTTTTAAAACATAAATATGTACAAATGTTCTAGCAATACGCAATCCCTTTCCATGGTCGTAAAAACTAAAAAAAAATGCATTTAAATTTTTTTTTATAAGTTCATTGCATGCTGCTTTTAGATTTTAGAAAAAAATTCAAACATTTTACTTTTGAGGGTGGTTTTTGAGCTAAAGGTAATTTTTCATTCAATTAGACCTTAAAAATGAAAAGTAAAATTTTGATTTTTTTTTAACTAAAAACAGCTTGAAATTAACTTTTTAAAAACAATTTAAAATGCGGTTTTTGATTCCTTGACACAATGACAACAAAAACAAGTGTTTGAAAATTGTAAAACGTTCATTGCATACTGGTTTCAGGTCGATAGAAGAAAAAAATCCTTCGAGCTTTCAAGACTCTGTTAAAACTTTGTTAATCCGCGCAAAGCGAGTAAAAATATTTGAGAAGGTGGACTTAAATCAATTCCAAACCAAGCAATGTTTCTAAATTATTGTTATTCCAGCCATACAAGTATGAAAGTTTTAAGCAACAAAAGGGCTAACAACAGCCCACTTTCGAACGCTAGCTACTATTTGATTAAAACAAATTGCCCAGATTTAGCAGTAGTTTCCTGCATGCCTACTTCTCAGCTTCCACAAACTCAAACCCAGGCAACTGCCTGTCAAATTCCAACTCCACTAATGTGCCGGTCTAAATTCTGCTGGTCCTTGAGCACAGCTTAATTTGCGAGCCAGAGTCATTAGAGCTCACTGACCACATGCTTGACCTTTCGCAAACGCGCTTTGTTTGTAGTGAACTTCGCCTAAAAATCGCTGGGAATTCCCGCACATTACCTTGCGCTTAAGTGCCTAGCGTTAGCTTCAAGAACTACCTAATTTATTCTTCTATACTCGGCTTAAGATTTCCGCCAAGTACTCGAACTCAAATCGCGTATTTCCCCAAGAGCACTAACACCCGCGGGAAATACCCGAAATGCGTAGGCGCGAAAAACACGTACTTGCCCAGCGGCGGTAAGTTTTCATAGAAGTAGCTATGCCGCGAGTAAATAAATAGTTTTATAACACTGCCGAATAGTTAAAACAAATAACAAAAACAAGCGAAATCCGCTGCCGGTCACTCCTATCGAAGCGGCATGGGAAAAAACGCTAAATTGTCTCTACGGCGGCTGAACGCTGAAGGATCTCTAGTTACTTGTTTCGTAGGTATTCGCGGCACTGGCTGCAAGTACCACGAAAGGTGGTAGCCTGGCTTTCGTTGAGGGAATTTCCATACTACTGCGGAGGTGGCTTAGGTGAAATTGGGAAATTCCTGGCCAAATGTGAAACACATGTGTGCCGAAAAGTTGACTATTGAGCGGGCGCGCGTGCGCACAAATGAAATCAATGCGCAAACAAACAAGAGAAGGCGAGAATTGAAGAAACAATAAAACACACACGAGATGGAAGAGGTGACACCTACACGAATAAGTGGCTAAGCGATAATATCGAGATGTGGTGCAGGAATATGCAAGCTGATATGGCTTTGAGCTGGCAAACCGAACAGGAAAGAAGAAACGATGGACGGACGGAAAGGTAGGTGTTGCACAGCCAAACGCAGACAATTGGGCAACAGCACCAGCAACGGCGACAGGCTGTCTGACCGATGCGGGATTCCCCAAACACAAACAAATCAAGCAACACATTGCTGGCCGCCACTGAAATGACCTTTAAACTATAGAGAGCCATGCAAGCGTCGCTTAGTTTGTGTGTATTGCGAAGAAATAATAGATTCTTACGAACCTGTAATGGCGTGGGAAATTCAACAACCTTGCCAAAGAAGCAACACATGTGCGCATGCGGACGGACAGACAGGGATTTCCCTCTCTACGCTGTCGCCGTGGCTTCTAACCTGCGCTGGCATTTTGGGAAACTCCAATTTGGGAAAACCAAAAATTTGCACTGCAATTTGTATGAGGAAGTAACATATGTTTTGCATTTGCAACGCCTAGTGCAGCGCACAGACGTCCGGACGGGCACAAAGGCGGAAGAAACACAAAGAAGGCTGAGGTAACATGTGAAAAGACGGAAAGTCTGCTGGTACAGGTATGCAACCAGGAAACTGTGCGAGAAAGCAGACTGGCAACTAACCGAGTTTTCGACCTAATCAGATTCAGATTGTGGGTAATTGTTGTGGGTATTAGAAAAAATTTAAATCAAATTTACTTAAATTTGTTTGCGAATTGTTTGCATGCTGTAAGCTGACTTGAGGTTAGGCCACCAGCACCGCTTAACTAGTCGAGGCTTAGTCGCGAGCAAGGCAATGAGCTGCCTACGCTGAGCTCAAACGCATGTGTGCCGGCGAAGGATTTGTTGGCCGCAAACGGCAAAGGTGTGAATAATCCGACGATTTACTAGTTTAAATCAAAGTTAATTTATTAAAGCAGGGATTTGCTCGCACGAGGGATTTATGCTTGCGTTAACCTAACGGCAGGGAGTGAATAGAATGAGCTAACTAATGTTTTCTCGGCGCGAAAAGAATCACTTCTTGATTTGTGGAATTTTGAGTACAATTTTCGAAAAGGGGGAAACATATTAGTCGAATGAATTTTTTCTTTAAAAAAATTTGACAAAAACAAAAAGAACAAAGGTTTCAAAAAAGAAAAAAATTTATAAAAAGTTGAAGCAAAATAAAAGCCAATAAAGTATAAAAAACGACTTTAAAAGACGGGAAAAATATTTAAAAATGTTAAGGAATACAAAAAAATCTCGAAATATATAAATAAATTTAAATTTACATTTGTAAAAAAATAGAAGATGATAAAAAATTTCGAAATATCGATATTAAAAGACATAAGAAAAATGGTTAAAATTTTATATTTTTTAAATTTTAATTAGAAAAATTTAGAAAAGTTCTCGCCCATGAACCTTAATAATGAATAAAATAATAAAATATATTTTCAACTAAATTTTTCTCTTAAAAAACTTATGTATGTAGTACGTTCAATAACTGATTTGAAGTTAATAAATTATGAAATATATCTAACTTTTAAAGAAAATACAAATTTGTTATAAGGTTAATTTACAAAAGCAGTAAAAACTAGGGCTGTGCGATTATTCGATTACTCGAGCAAGTTGGTTAATCAATTACTCTGTATATGAAAAAAAAATTTTCGTTTTAATTTTTGAAAACAGAAACGTTGTTTTCAAAGAACTTTAACAACTTATACATATGTAAAGAGATGAAATGTTGATTACTCATTTTACTCGAAATGTTGGTTAATCATAAAGCAAATTACTCAAATATTTTTTTTTTTGGTTAATCAAACATCTTGATTATTCGAGTAACTGAACTTTTGAGTAATCATAATTTCTAATTAATCGAATAACTGAGTTATTTACTTTATGATTAATTAAAATTTTGAGTAATCAATTAATCGCACAGCCCTAGTAAAAACAT